TACTACAGAAAAATCAAAAGCAATGTGATAACTGTTATTATTAAATAACTATGTTATTTTAGGTTCTAAATTCACCAACCACTAGAAATTTCTAACAGAAGAGAGATCAAACTAAAGATCGGATGCATGTTTTAAGTGATCAAAAAGAGATAACTTTTTGACAAAGCAAGTATATCCCAGCTAGCACACATACGTTGTTAAAACATTAAAACAATGTTGCGCATTTCGTTGGCCCAACATCGGCTGCCAACGTTGTTTTTATATCATTATGGTTAAAAATGTGACGTCGCCAACAACTAAAAACCAATGTTGATAAAACGTTTTTTTAAAGTCGGAAAATGGTTATATTTTCTACGTTGATACAACGTTTTATCTTATACGTTGCAACGTATAAAATAAAACGTTGTATCAACGTAGAAAATATAACCATTTTCAACGCCTTGGTACAACGTTGTATTTTACGTTGTTTCAATGTTGTATTTTAAGTTGTTACAACGTTGTATTTACATTGATTCAACGTTGAACTTTAATTGGCAAAACGTTGTACTCAATATTATTCGGAATTATATTTTTATTAAATTCTAATTTCTTAATTTATATATATATATATATATATATATATATATATATATATATATATATATATATATATATATATATATATATATATATATATATATATATATATATATATATATATATATATATATATATATATATATATATATGTTTAAGTATGGACCACTAAAGTTATATATGTTTAGTTAAAATTATATATGTTAAGACCACTAAATATATATATATATATGTTTAAGTATGGACCACTAAAGCCCCTTTCTATATTTATCGTCCCAAGCGAGGACGAGGGAAAACCATTAGTTATGAAAAAGGTAAAAAGAGGCAATGTATATTTATATAGTTAGAAACGCTTGATCATCAAAATAAAAATCATGTTTAAGTTAAAGTTGGGTTTTGTTCGTAAAAACAATTAACTTTTTGCGATGTATTTACATACATTGGATCAACGTTGATTTATATACATTGAATTAATGTCGAAATATATACATTGGATCAACGTTGGGTTTAGATTGTAAAAACAAACAACATTTTGCAATGTTTTTACATATATTGGAAAAAGGTTGATTTATATACATTGAATCAATGTCGAGATATATAAATTGGATCAGTGTTGGGTTTATATCATAAAACAATTAAATTTTTGCGATGTTTTTACATACATTGGAAAAATGTTGATTTATATACATTGAATCAATGTCGATATATATACATTGGATCAACGTTGGGTTTAGATTGTAAAAACAATCAATTATTTTTGATGTTTTTACATACATTGCAAAAACGTTGATTTATATAGATTTAATCAACGTCGAAATATATACATTGGATCAACATTGGGTTTAGATCGTAAAAATAATCAACTTTTTGCAATGTTTTTACATACATTGGACCAATGTAAGTTTGCCAGATGTTTTTAGTTTTGTTGGCAATAATTTTATCATTAACCAAATGACATTGGATCAACTTTGGTTTTACATTGGATAAAAGAGCCGACGTTTGCGATGGTTTTACATACGTTGGCCCAATGTAAGTGTGCTAGCTGGGATAGATATGTTTTCCGCAAATAACATCAATGTCGAGGTAAAATTATAAAATCATTAAAATAGTTGAGAAACAACACAGAGCCAAGAATGTGACCTTATGGTACTTTAGATGTGAAATTAGAAAAGCGTCGACCAAGACAACTTTAATAATGCAGATAAAATTAAACAATTGAATAAATTTAAAAATTTTTTCCGATTTTTAAAAAAAACTACGGAGATTACCAGCAAGCCAAATGAAAAGAATCAAAAACTTTTGAAATGTCAATACAAACAACGTTTGTCTCACTGCTTTCATTTTTTTTTGTTGTTGTTGTTTTAGGTGCTCCCAGAAATCCTTACGATCTTATCACAGAGCACAGCGGGTGAACATTTAACAAGAAGTTCACGCCTCCTTCCGTACCAATGTCGCTTGTTGGGCTAAAGCTGGCGTTGAATCTAGAACCCTTTGGTTCTGAACCAGAACTCTAACCACTGCCTCACGGCTACTCAAACGCATAATAAAACTTTTTTTTATAACAACTTACAAGTCAGCAGCAGAACGAACGGATTAAATCTTGTATCTTATTAGACTCCAGATGAAAAAATAGAAGCTCATAAATTAAAGACACAAACTAAATTCTTGATAAAAAGAATGGCTAGACAAAAATTTGATGGGTCAGATTAATCTTAAAAATATTATCAAAAAAGAGCCACAGATGCCATTTTTCAGTAATCAGAAAATAAAGATTAAGTAGAACACTTGTATAATAAGTTCAAAAGTAGGAAAGAAAGTTATGGAGAGTATTTTTGTAAGACTGTTACAGGAGTATTACTAGGACCAAAATCTCTAAAAGATATTAGGCAAGTAATAACTTTAGAAAGTAGTAATTAAGATGCCTAACAATGGTTGCAGAGTTTTTCAGGGATGACAGGAAAAGTGCGGTCAAAAGATTCAAGAATACAATTAAAAAGAAAATTCTTTTTAAATAACTAATTCTTAACTAAACTTCTTTTTTGAAGAGGTGATGAAGATCAAACCTATGTTTTTTGAAGAGGTGATGAAGATCAGACCTATGTTTTTTGAAGAGGTGATAAGATCAGACCTATGTTTTTTGAAGAGGTGATGAAGATCAGACCTATGTTTTTTGAAGAGGTGATAAAATCAAACCTATGTATGAGAAATGGAATGTAATAATCTTCTTTTTAAATAACACTGTTAAAGATTTTTCAAAATTCTTGTGAATCTAACTTTTGTGAAAAACTACAAGACTCATTAATAATAAGACTTGTAGTTTTGAAAATAATGGTCTTTCAACAGCATACAAAACTTTTTTCTTGTTATTATAAAATATATTTCTCCATAAGAGAGTTTGGTAAAAACTAAACAAAATGATAACTATAAGAAATAGATGCTAAAACTATGAGGTAAATAAAAACCGACTAAACTTCATAAAAGTTTCATGCCTACTGGACTTTAAGAAATTATCTAAGAAGTGAAACTCTCTGCAGAGTTACATTGGTCCAAGCACTATCACAAAGAAAACCATGTAAAGAATCCTAATCAACATTAATAGAGCTGTAAGGAGTAAAATTGGAAAACGTCAAATATATCAACAATTATGTTTGATAAAGACAGAAAGTTTTTTATCTCAGGAAAGGATAAACCTAAAATGTTTGCCCAAATGAATGATGAGAAAAAATTTCCATTTTGTTTAAAGCAAACAAACTTTCTATTAATTCTAAAAAAACAATGTTTTTGTTATTCCATCCTTTAAATTAAACAAAAAGAGTTCCTTCCAAAACTAATTATTGAAAACATAAAAATTTGTCATGAAAGAGTAACAAAATTTCTTGGTGTTCTTATTGACTAAAATATTACCTGGAAAGAACATATTGCCTATTTTGGCAACAAAATATTAAAAAATATTGGAATTCTATTCCAATCAAGTATCGCATGGAGTAGTACTTCTAAAGGCAAACTAAAAACACTTTAAAAAAAAAGATACATGCTTTAAGAACTAAAAATTTTAAAAATATAAACGAACATACAAACCACTTTTAGAAAGTATGAATATTTATACAATATATGAGCTAAACACTTTTAAAATTTTATGTCTCATGTACAAAAGTAAATTTCAACAATGTCCTTTAATTTTTCGCGATCTCTATATAATAATAAAACAAGTTTGAATTAAATAAAAATTAAAACTATAATCTTAGAGCAAATATGTTAAACACATATAAACTGCCTCGGGTAATAAATAAATATTCAAAATACAGCACTTCATATCGAGGTCCAAAAGTATAGAATACCTTTCAAAAAGGATTCAAAGGTACGGTAAACTTGTTAATTTCATTCAAGTTTATAACAAATAAAGAAATTTTTAAAATTTGATAAACTTTTTTGGTTAATATTACCACTCTACTTTTTGTTGTTCTTGTTATTGTTGTTGTTTAACAATCTTATTAGCGAATTACGTATTTTATTACGATATTCATTACGATATTTAATTGAAATTTTATTACGTATATATTTTACGAAATGTTTTACGTAAAATATATACGTAATACGATATTTTATTGAAATTTTGTTAAAAGGGCTCTATGAAAAGATTGCGATGACGTACTGTCATCCTCATCTTCTTTGAGCCCCTATCTGTTTTTACTTACTTTTTTTTTTTATGAAGCACGTTGTTAAAATCTGTACAAAATTTTTATTTAAAATGTTAAGTAGAACTTCTATGAAATAAAACCTAAGTTTAAATATACTGAGCGCACAACAGGCTCCTTAATTGAACCTTTATGCAAAGCTAAGCAAGATCAATTGAAAATCTTAGCAAAAAATAATAATATTATACGTGTAGAAAATTTAAATTTCAAAAATTAAATAAAAAGTCTTAGAGAATACAAATCTTATCAATAGTTTTTTTTAAATTTTTGTATTTTTATTTTAATTACAACTTTGAGAGTTTTTTTTGTTCTTAATGCTGTTTATTTTATATTCTACAAAGCAGCTCTTAATGATAAGACCTTCTGGTCTTCTGCGAGTTTCCCGCATTTTTTTTAACTATAACACTGTTATTTTATGAAAATTTGTAATATTTACCTTTTATACGTTTAATTTATTTCATGCTAACAAAAATAAACAAATTGTAAACATTTAATTTATTCATTTTTGAATGTTTATAAGTTTTTTATACTACGAACTTGAATTGTAAAAGAAAAAAAAAAATTGTAAAAAAGAGTCTGATGAAGAAGAATTATAGTTTATTTTTTATATATTTTATATTTAAAAGTTATAGATTATTTAGTTAACTGTTAAAACTTTTGTTGTCCTAATATCGAATAAAATTATAAAGAATTAGAAAAAAAAAAAAGAAAAACAACAACCAATTTAACCTAATTTGCAAGCCTCTTTGTTTTTTTCAACTTCATAACTGTAAGGTAATCCGTCACATTGGAAATAAGAAGAAATGCATTGTCGTGGTAATTTTCTTAAACAGTGTGATCCATTCCATATATGATTAGAAATTAATGAATCACTTTGGTACAACCACTTTCCACAACCTAAAATTAAAATTTTTATAATAAATAATGTAGCTCAACTTGTGCTGCATTATTTTGCGATAGTTCGATTGAATAAGATTCAACTAGGAAAAAAAAATCCAAGAACTGTTAATTTTAGGACACAATTTGATATTTGACACAATTTGATATAATAGCGAGCTGTGCGTAGGAATGAACAATGAATTAGAAAAGATTTCAGAGTGGTTTAGAGCAAACAAACTCTCTATTAACTCAAGTAAAACAAAGTTTTCTTTATTTCATCATTCTTTTTTTTTAAAAAAAAGAGGTTCAATCTTTTTTTCCGAAATTGTTTATTGAAAATAGAGAAATAGGTAGGGATACTGTTACGAAATTTTTGGGTGTTTTTATTGACGAAAATCTAAACTGGAATAAACATATGGCTTATATAGGTAGTAAAATATCCAAAAGCATAGGAATAATATACCAGTCACGTTATTTCTTAAAAAAACCACAACTTAAACAAATCTACTATAGTTTTGTTCAAAGTTACCTAAACTACGGAAATATATCTTGGAGTAGTACCTATAAAACGAAACTAGAACCACTTTATCGTAAACAGAAGCATGCTATACGTGTGATTAATTTTAAAAATAAAACAGAACACTCAAAACCTCTTTTTGAACAAATGTCTTTATTAACATTGTTTGAACTAAATGTATATAATGTTCTAAGTCTTATGTATAATAGCAAAATGCAAAAAAGTCCTTCGATTTTTTATAGTCTTTATAAACAAAAACCAGAGTACAAATATTTATTGCGTACAAATAGTACCCTGTTAGAGCCTTCATGCAAAAATAAGCTTGAACAATTCAAAGTGACTTATCGTGCACCTCATATCTGGAATAAGTTTTTACTAATTAATTTAAATAATATTGATTTAAAAAACTTAAATTGCTTTAAAAAAAATTATTAAAAAGAGTATTTTAAAGTATAAAAATTTAGTTAGTGATTTTTTTTTAAATTTATTTATAAATATTTTCTTTTTTATTTAATATAAATATATTTTCAACATTGCGATTTTACAAAACAATTTTTGTAAAAATATATTTGTATACTTGTTATCTGACATTTTAATACCATTATAATTTAATGATTTTATGAAAAAAATTTATGAATATGTTTTTATATTTACAACAATGTAAAGCGGTTCTTGATAATAAGACCATTTGGTCTTCTGCAAGTTTTCCGCGTTCTTTTTACAGTGAATTTATTATTTTTGTAAAACCACTTTGCAATATTTTGTTTTTATTTATATATTCACTGTTAACGAATCTTTAGTATGTGGTTACGAATTTGTAATATTAAATACTGCTATTATGTAACCCAGTACTACCTTCCCCATGTCCTGCTGCATTAAAAGGTGTGGTTTTTTAGGCAAAGGCTAGAAGAAAAAATCTCCAACTAAAAAATATTTTTCTTATGGCAATCCCAGTGGGCACACGACGTTATTTCGACGTTGATTTACAGTTGATTTTTAGTCGCGACGTCGTGTAATCAAAAATCAACGTTGTATCAACGTTGAAAAATTTGTTTAAAACTATCAAATAAAATCGACGTTGATTCTACGTTAATTCAACGTCTATATTACGAGTTCGACCGTTCGTAATTACAATATGAGAACTAAAATACGCATGCGTGACTTAAATTTTTTTTTATTAGCTTAACAAATAACAAGTAGAAACTTAACAAGTTATTTATTAGCCCAATAAAAACAAGTAAAGTCACAGATGCTAATAATTAGGCCATCTGTTGCCTTTTTATAAGGTTTTGAATTTGACAATATAACAATAATACATGGCTTAACTTGTGATGCAGTTAGTTAGGTAAATATTAAATGGATATTTCTTTATGACCGTATTATTTCATGAGTGAGGAATACAATTGTATTCCTCACTCATGAAATAATACGGTCTGACACAACAGTTACAGCTTCATGAATAAGCTTAGTGGCTTTTTTTCTGTTTTCCAGGCAGTTATTTCTGATTATACTGTCCGCTTTTGGTGTTTTCTTGCGTTTAGAAGGTGGTCTCCTTGGACCAAACTCTTTCCCTGTATCAATTCTTTTTCCTACTTGCATTATGGTTTGGTAAGAAACCTTTGCAATTTGTGCAATTTTTCATTGAGAATAATTTGTATTTTGTAAAAGACATGTTTATCAATTTTTAATGTAACTATAATAATAATAACAATGTATAATGCAGGCTGTTGACCAATGGTTTATAATCAAAATTTAATATGACTGGCGGTAAAAGTAAAGAGAAGTTTAAAGGAACAAACATTAGGTATTTACTTGTAAGTTAAGTGTAAAATTATATATTTTTTAAAAATCACAGTTCGTTTTTTTAATGCTATTTTATTTTTAACTTTTTGATGTATTTGATGCAAATTACTCAGCCAATACTTTTTCTTATAGAGAGCGTTTTGTCAATTAAAGTGACTGCTACAGTTGCCGAAATAAGAAAAGGAATAACGACTTTATTAAAATACGCACTCGACAGATCAAATGGTGGTGGTCGGCGCGTAAAAGGCAATTCACCCGATGTATAACATTCATACTTTTTCCTAGTTGTTCTGGAACTATTGATAATAGCTATTATTGATAAATTGATAAATATATTACTGATAAATAAAACTTTTTTTTTTCAAACATTTTACTTTGTTTGCATTGTATATAAAGTCCGTTGAAGCAATTTAGTTGTATCTGATTAATTTACGTGAAATATAATATTCTTCGCGCAAATTGTTGCTTTTTTATTGTGTTAATTTATTTCAATTAAAGTTGAGATAATTTTTTAGTTAATTGGATTTAACCAAAATAAAAAACAAAAATCAACGTTGAATTTACGTTGTTTCAACGTTGTTCTAACGTGTTATCAACTACGTATCGAATATATCACCTATTCAAAGTTGAAATATGGTTGATATGTAGTCGATAAGACGTTAGATCAACGTTGAAACAACGTAATCATCGACGTTGTTTCAACGTCGAAGTTTTCGACGTCGGATTTTATTTCCAATTCAACCAAATTTCAACGTTGTTTCAACGTGGCATATGGTTACGACGTTGTTTCAACGTTATTTCAACGTCATTGTGCCTGCTGAGATGATGGAAATACTTCGAGAAGGGCATTTGAGAACTCTGCGATTTACTCCAAAATAAAAGGGGTTGATATAGTTATAAAGAGAATGCACATTGTCCTTGCTACAATATCCTCTGAGTACCAAACCGTTATTAATCAGTTTGAAATTTACAGTACTGATGCAGCTAAAATTATAGTTAATAAATTTGGTTGATATATAATGCCACCCCGTGTTCACAAAGTTCTGATACATGGTTTCTCCATTTCAAAGCAATTTGATTTGCCGTATGTTTAATTCTCTAAAGAAACTTAGAAAAGTCTAAACAAGCAAATCCGAAATGTAAAGTTGCACCAAACAAAAAAATATCAAGAATTAACACTATGAAAGATCAGATGCACTACCTTTTTATTAGATCGGATTTAAAAATCTGAAGTGTTTCATTTGTAAAACACATAAGTTATCAAGGAAGAACTTTGTCTCCAGAAGTACTGAATTTGTTAGTAATTTAAATTGTTTATTCTTGTATTACAAATTGTGTATTTATTTTGGCGTTAAAGACTCATTACGCGCTTTGAAACACATCCGAACGCATTTAGCACATTTGCACGCGTCTAACGCGTGCGTTTGTGTATTAATAAAATGATGTAATATTTTAGGTCGAGGAAACTAAATATTTTACCACAAATAGTATTTACAAATTAATGTCCTCTAAAGCGCGTTTTTTATTTTCAGTTGATTATGGTGCAAAAAATATTTTTAAGAAAACTTTTTTTAAAAATGTCAATTTTCGAAAAAGTTTCTAATATTGGAAATTTCCAATATTTAAAGATAGTTTTCTTCAAAACATTTTTTGCAACGTAATTAATTGAAAATGAAAAACGCGTTTAAGTCAAGCCAAACAATATACTAAGGAGATTTATTTTTATTCTAGATTATTAATTTTAACTTAGTTCTTTAATTCATGCCAACATCAGAATAAATTAATTTTATTTATTCTTAATGAATTTTAAAGGACATTGTATTTTTCAGTTATCTAATACAATATCTAATAATTAACGTTAAGAATTTGATATTATGGTCGTAAAATGAAAGTTTTAGCATAATAAATGGGCGACAAAATATTAAATTTTAGTCATTAACTAACAATTAAATAATTTTTTATAAACTTTTTTTTTTCAAAATGATTTTATCGCCTGTAGCATGGAAATAAAGTTTTCAATCATTAGCATTTATTTCGAATATGAAACTAATAATTTATTCAATTAATATTAGTTTCAATAATACCTAAAAGATTTTTTTTTGTAAGAGGAAGAACGTGGAATCTCGTAGAAGACCTTAAGGACTTGTCGTCAAGAACCATTTTGTTTTTTAAACTACATTGTTACGGTTGGTTTAATAAATATTTATTTTTGTCCAAAGTAAAAATAAATAACCTCAAAGAAATAAAACATTCATATGTAAAAACTAAGAAGTGAAATTAAAGGATTTTACTTTATAAAAAATTTAAATATAAGAGTATGTTATCAATAGATAAAATTACCTGTTTAAGTTTTTTTTGAGTTGTAATTCCACTCTTGAGAAAAATCAAAATACTTCATAACTACTTTCTTCCATAAAAAAGCTCGATGTCGCAAGTTCTATCAAAATTTGCATGCAAATAAGGTTTTTGGATAAAAATTTTATTTTGAAGGTTTCTTTTTCTATGTAAATATAAATTATAAATAGGATATAGGGAAGTGTTAGTTTTACGTTTATGCATAAAGCAAAAATCATTATAAATATTTAGCTGATATACATTAAGAATACTTATTTTAAGTAAAAGAGGTCTGGCATGAGTAAAACAGTCTTTAAAGTATAAAAGACGTGCAATATGCTTCTGTTGACGATAAAAAAGTTCTGTTTTACTTTTACTTAAACTACCCAATGCAGTATTAGCATAATTAATATGGCAATGAATAAATAAGTAATATAATTGAATTAATGTATTTTTTCTTGAAAGATTTCTCAGTTTCTACAGCATTCCTATACTTCTAGCAATTTTATTGTTTAGATTGTTTACATAATTTTTCCACGTGAGGTTTTTATTAATGAAAATACCCAATAAACTGATATTTTTAGCTTTCACTATATCATACATGATATCAAACGCGAAAATGTGTTCAATTTTTTGCTCCCCCATTTTGACAACCGCCGCTAGTTGGAAGGCAGAAGCCGTTGGAGACGGTCTCCAAATTTTTTTGCTTCTAAAAATTCAAAACATTGGTTATTAAGGTGATTGCAAAAGTCAATCAAGGAGGAGCGTTTAACTAGGAAGTTCACGTCTTCTTTCTTGATTCTGAGCCAGAAACACAACAACTGCGCCACAGCTGCACCCTGCAATATTTAAAAAGCACTTGCTCGAGTCGCCACTAGAAAGGTGGAAGACAGATCTTTTAGACGCTAAAAAAATATTGGTAAGCAGGCGCCAACTGCTGCAGAAGAAAAGTGGAGGTGAGAAGGTTTACTCCGTTTATCATCATTGGTCGGCAATATATATTCATAGAGCTGCTCCACAAAGGCAATACAACATCAATGAGATTGAGCACTAAAACATTGAAGACTACTGGGCGAGTTGTAAGCCTGCGAATTAAATTTTTATCATATTGTTTAGGATTTTTTTTATTAGTATTTGTTTTTTTGACACTTTTTTTGTTTTATTAATATAAAACTTTCAACAAAAATAAATCAGATTTAAAGACAAATACCCTTGTACTTTTTTTGGTTTGACGGAGTCTGTAATACAGATATCTCAAGACACATTTCTTTTTCAACATGGTATTAAAAAGCCTAAAAAACTTGTTTAACTACTTTGATAGTAAATTTTCATATAGAACTTCTAAATTTGCATTGGTTTAGTCATTATTTTTGAATTCATTACCCTAAAAAGTAATTAGATACAAACTATTGTTCATATTGAATAAATATTACATATTTAAAATTAATTGCGTAGCGCATTTGATTAAAAGATAAGTAGCACTAAAAAAAAGTAAAGAAAAAACATGGGCATAGTATTGGAATTATTGGAATCGTATTTTTTTTTATAAATACAAGCTTGTGTACCAAAAATAATTAAAGTTTGATAATCAAGAATAGTTTGACATAATGGCCTTCATACAATAAATAAATGTAAAATATTTGCACAAACAAAATTAAAAACTGTAGAAACCTTTTTCATAGCACGAGACTGTTTGACAAACGTTACATGTTTTGTTTTCAACCTCATTTGTTGTACATACATATATCTTCAGCTTTAAAGTAAACAATCGTTTTAAAGGATTGCCTCTGCAGCTTCCACCAATAGATTGGTTAAGCTTGCTTTTTGTTTGCTCAGATGTACCTTTAAAAATATTTTTTTGATAGTAGAGAATATATACATATATATATATATATATATATATATATATATATATATATATATATATATATATATATATATATATATATATATATATATATATATATATATATATATATATATATATATATATATATATATATATATATATATATATATATATATATATATATATATTTAAAAATAAATTAATTAAACATATAATTTTAGTTAACTAAAATTACTCGACTAACTTTTTAGTTAACTAAAATTACTCGACTAATATTTTAGTTAACTAAAATTAGTCGACTAACTCTTTAGTTAACTAAAATTACCCGACTGAATATTTAGTGTAACTAAATTTAGTCGACTAAAGCAAGATTTAGTGCTTAAAAAAAGAAATAATCTTTCGCATAAAAATTTACACACGAGGAAGCTTTATTAAGGCGTTTGGTATTATTATATTGAAATTAAACACTTTACTAATTGTGAATCCTAGAGCCCTGTCGAACTAAACTGTAATTCAAAAAAAATGTTTCAAGCAAAATTCGATTACTTTTATTTTTCCCCAGCTCGGAGACAACTGCCTATGAGTTTGTTGCAACTGTTTATAAACACCCAATCAGCATAAAATGTACAAATAATGCCCTTTAGCCAATTATATCAAATTTGGTACGCTTATTGAAAGTTTAACTTACATTTTTTATGTACTGCATCCTATAAGTAGTATGCAATAATAATCGCACATCAAAAATAATCATCCCTGCCAAGGCCGTACCGACAGGGGTGTAGGCACCTTCCCAGGTTTACAACATTCTGTCGGTTTTGTCGGTAATTTGAAAAATTTGAGACTCGGTCGGTTAAAACTGAAATTTGGCTTTTAAATAAAAAAAAAGCCCTACTTTCGTGAGATTTTTACGGTACAAAAGCTTTTTCATTTGTACCCCCTACAATTTTGTTGTTCAGTACAGCCCTGTCCCCTGCCATATTATAGGAACGAATTCAATCTTCAAATTTGTTGTGAAAATTCAAATTTTCACATCAAATCTACGACTCCTCCTCCCCACCTTTTCAAATATCAACTTCTCCTAACAATTGATAACCACCCCATATACAAAAAAAAACTAAAAAAAAAAAACACAACAGAAAACAAAATATAGTAGATTGTAACATAAATACAGTAAAAAAAAATTAAAAAAACAATGCAGTAGAAACATTTGGCATTTTAGTTCTTCCAATTACAGAAGACATTAATATTGTGTTCACTTAAAAATTATAGATGGGCATTAAATTCCCTCCCTTTATTAACCCTCCCCAAACCTATTGTAATGTTAACATAACCATCACACAGTGGGCCAGGTGGTGGAAAAAAGTATAAAAAAAATATTCTCAAAAATAACATTGTTATATACCATTTTATAGCTTAAACATCCGGCTTTTATAAAATGTATATATTTCTGTATAACTAACATGCCATTTGCATTTTAAGCTGTTAATAAAAAAGGTATTTTTTTTTTTTATTTTTTTTTTGTTGTTGTTTTTTAATTTAATAGTATTTTTCGTGTTAGTAATAAGCATAAATATGTTATTAATTATAAAAAAATTCATTTTTTTATTGAATAATTAAATAAAACTAAGTATTATCTCTCAAATGAGCTATTGCAAAATTATATTGCTCGTAAGCTATATCAAATAAATTGATTTCTAATGATGGCGTATTTAAAGCACTTTTTTTAGTGAAAATTTAACAATAATGAAATACTTTTGCGCTCAAAGATGCTCCAAAAATTTGAGACCTAAAATATCTTGCCCAATATGTACATTATCGATATATATTTTACCTATTGTCGGCGGGTGTCAACTGCGTCTCTATTAATATTTTTTACAAATTTCATCTTTGGGGCAGGGGGGCCAACATTCTGGCTATTCTTTGTGTTCCCAGGCTCCAATCATCGCAATTTTTTAGCAAATCATATTTTATCACATTAGAATAAACATATAAATATTTGGAGTTTGTTATATCTCCAAATGTCTCATAAATAGTATACTTTTTGTATTTGTAGGCTGAAAATGAAATATTTTGATATCTATGCATTCATTATGCATAAGCCTAATAATCTACAAATATCTGACTCTGGTATTGTGGACAAAGTTATTGATGCTATGAATTTGGATTGCAACAAGTAGCAGTTAGGAACTATAATAACGCATCTACGAGATAAGTGGCGCAAGTCATATTGCAGCATGGCTCGATTTGAAGAAAAGAACAAAAAAAGGCTGCAAAGCCATGTTCCTGAAAGTTTAAATAAAACACCAATACCTACTGGAAGACCAAATACGAAAAACTTTGATGACTACTCTACTAAAACCAAAAAATATAAAGTTAGTCACCTAACTGAAATGTATTCTGCTTCTGCGTTACAATTTGCTTCAGAAATTAAGCGGAGAAAAGAAAATCCAACTGATAAAACCTCAAAAAAAGATTGTAGAATGTCTAAAGATAAAGCTCTTTGTATTTTTTTAGATGCTAGATTGACAAAAGCTTCCTACCAAATTATTCGAAATCAAGCAGTTGAAATGGGAGTTGATATAAATTTTCCATATAATGATGTTCGGGGTGCAAAGCTGTTATGCTATCCTGCAGATATATCTGCCTAAGACTTTTCAGCTGAAATAAAACTGCAAGCTTTGGTCGATCATACAGCAAATAGAATATGCAAGGCATAGAATGATGTCCTTAGCACTCAAGGTCCTTCAGATAGACTTCCTCTGAGATACAAAATAGGCTTTGATGGTGCCACAGGACAGTCTATATATAAAAAAATATCGCAAGGAACAGTAATAAGAAATTTAAACAATGAGCAGGCACTTTTTATTACTTGCCTAGTGTCATTGGACTTGTGTGGTTTTTCAAATGGAAAACAGTACACAGCTTGGCGAAATCCACGACCATCATCAACAGTGTACTGTAAAGCTCTGCGTTTTAAATTTGAAAAAGGAACGGCAGCAGTTTCTAAATCAGAAGAGGATCTCATTAGGGTTGAGATTTCAAACTTGCAAGATACTGAAGTTAATATAAATAATAAAAAAATCAAAATACATCATATAATACAAATTACTATGATAATTAATATGTGTACATCTGATCCATTTATTGCATCTCTGAGAAAGACAGCAGGAAGTCACACCAAAACGAAAAACTTACCAGCTGGAGTTATTGACTTATTGAGGTCATCCACAGATGATATTAGTTTATAAATGTATCTTTTGTATCTTTATAATTTTGGAAATGTCTTTACCTATAAAAGTGTGACTGTAAATTTAAACAATTAGTTATGCTCAATCCTATTAGAATTATCAAAATAGTTTGCATACCAAGTTTAGAAACATTTGGCTAAAAATAACCCTTAGGAACTAAGCATAAATGTGTTGTTATGCAAATGGGGTTGCCTTGGCAACCACACCAAAAAACAATGCTCATTTAAATTATAATCATCCAATTAATTTATATACCTATTTTTTAGGTCTATGGATAAAAGGAAAAAAAAATATGACTTTATTCCAAAAATATGGGATTCTGGCCCACTGTGCATCACCACATATGCAGTACACAATATACATTTATTGTTGCGTCTTCTCTCCCGACTAATATAAACCCGCAAACACTACAGTTAGGCAGGCGAAAGTATTGACATAAACCCAAAAGTTAATCGTGAAATAAGGTATTACGAATACATATATTGCTTTAAGAATATAGTTGTTCGTCGGTTGGCAATACTTGCAAAATTTAAAAGGAAGATTAGTATTTGCATTTTAAAATGCAATTTCCGCAATATAAGTTGTTGAATAGTGTATAAAATGTATGAAATAATACTTAACTGTTGAATAATGAAAACATTTTATTAAGTTACTGCGGTCGCTTTCAAAACCAGGAATATGTTTATGACATTTCAAATACTTGAAAAATGAAATATTTATTTTTTAAGTATTTTAAAATGCATGTAAAACCAGGTCAAAACAATCATCAATTAAAGTTCAATGACTTTTTTATTATTATTATTATTATTATTATTATAGTTGTAGCCGTAAATTTACATAGAATGTACACATACAGCGAGATGGGGAAACACCCCACTATAAACAACCAGTTTTATAAATATTTGTTCCAAACTTTTTCCACAACCAGGAGTCTAGTCTATTTTTGAAAGAAAATACAGTGGAGTACAAAGTTATTTGCTCTGGTAGATTGTTCCAGTATTTTGCTGATCTATTATACAAATGATTATATCTTGGAAGACAGTTTAGAACATACTCACGCCTTATTTTAGAATGGTGACCACGAGACACGGAGTTAATATATTTTGGTAGATATTTATCATTAACTATATCAAAACGATGTATTAATTTAAAAATTTGGATTAAATCGCATCGAAGGCGTCGAAACTCAAGTGATGGTAGGTTTAATCTTTTTAGCCTTTCGCAGTATTGAAGATGCCTCAAGCTGTAAGCCCATTTTGTAGCTTTGCGTTGAACAGATTCAACCAAAGCCATATCAGCTTTTAAAAAAGGAGCCCAAATGGACACTCCATATTCAAGATGTGGTCTTATAAATACTTTATATAATTTGAGAGCCATTTTTTCATCAATGAAAGTGAATGTCTTTTTCAGCATACCGAGAATTTGTAAGGACTTAGAGACAACTGTTTGAATATGAGCGCTCCACTTGAGGTTAGATGTAAAAATGACTCCTAAATCACGTTCTTTAGTAGAGCTTCTTAGAGATTGGTTGATTTCTTGGTTATTTTGAAGAAAGTAATTGTAATGGGGGTTGTTTCGACCGTAATGAATGACGCAGCATTTTGAAGTGTTTAGCTTAAGTAACCAAGTGTTTGACCACTCGTATACCAAGCGTAGACGATCCTGCAGATCAACAAAATTAGATTGCGATAAGGTTTTAGAAAAAAGTTTAGTATCATCGGCAAATATCTCAGAAGTTTCAGTGAGTTTTGCGAGATCATTTGTGTAGAGAATGAAGAGGAGCGGGCCGAGAACAGAACCTTGAGGAACACCACTGAGAACATCAACCCATGCAGAGCTGGTATTGTTAATTGTAACGCGTTGCTTTCTGCCCACTAAAAAAGATTTAATCCATTGTAGGAGTTTGCCGTTTATTCCGAAAGATCTTAATTTTAACAAAAGTCTGTTGTGAGGTACAGAGTCAAACGCTTTGGCAAAGTCAAGATAGATTACATCAATAAATTGGTGAGATGCTATGGAGGACGAAATGATATCAAAAGTTTCTATTAGGTTAGTTACGCATGATTTATGATAAAGGAAGCCATGTTGATTTGCAGAGAGCATTTTATTATCGTTAATGTGCTTTAAAATTTTTTTCTTTACAAGTTTTTCAAAGATTTTACAGGCAACAGATGTTAGTGAAATAGGTCTATAGTTTTCAGCAAGAAATTTATCTCCCTTTTTTTTATAGATCGGACTAATCGGACTTTATTATATTTATTTTTATATTTTTTCATTAGACAGATGTTTAAAAAAATACTAAAGAATATATAAATAAATATTTAAAAAAAAATAATCAAACTATTTAAATAATAAAGGTAAAAAAAAAAATTTGCGGTTTAAGGCAACATTATGATTAATTTTTTTTAACTTTCAATTTTTTTTTAACTATTTTTTTAAACACATTTTAAATTTATAATACTAAATTAATTTTTTACATTTTTGTAACAAAAAAAATATCAGTTTCACACAAAAGAGTTTGAATACTAAATTTAATAATATTTATTTAAGAACAATAAAATGTATTAAAAAATGTTTATTACAAGAAAAAACTATAGTATTAAATTTAATGAATTTAAACTAAATTAAAAAAGTCCGAATTTTTGTACAAAAACATCAACATTTGACAACATTCAGTTGTCATTCTGTTTCAAAGTGTTTAATGCGTCATAGAAAAGGCGTTCACTTTGTGCACTGGTAGCAGGCGTACATAAAATGATTGTTGAAATACAATAGGCCGGGTGAATAAAAAAGAGCAATTGCTTTTACTCAGCGTTTTTGGAGAAATTTCATTCAAGTTTACGAGAATAAAAATTTAGAGCAATTGCTCTTTTTTCCGCGAAAGCTTTTACTCATGAGCTTTTGCTTATTTAGCGATTTATATTTAGCGATTGCTCACATATGAGAAAAGTGCGTGAGCTACAACTCAAAAAACGGCGAGCAATTGCTTCTAATTTTACGAGCACCTATAATAGTTGCTTTTTTTTTTTTTTTTGATAATTGGACATTTTATTATTTTACTAATATATTTTACTATTTTTTGACTATATATATATATATATATATATATATATATATATATATATATATATATATATATATATATATATATATATTTATATATATATATATATATATATATATATATGAAACAATGAAGTTGCACATGCTGTCTTCCTAAGTTTGTGTCTATTTAATTCAATATATATATTTTTTGTATACGTTGAGTATTATAATTAAATAAAAACTGCAGCCTAATGTCGACGAATGGAGTGCGCGTTTACAATTAAAGAGTAGTTAAAGAGTACTTGCAAATTTATCACGTTTGATTAATTGTATATAATACATTCGCATAATGTAATCGATTATACAATCAAGGTATTAGATATAGTGAACAGTAATTAACAAACATAATAATAAAACATATTAGTTGCATTAAAAATACATCTTAAAATACGTCTTTAAATGGCCCAAATGTTTCCAGAACGAAAAACTAAATCCTATAATACTCGAAAGGCACCACCAACAGCTTCAAACGAATACCATAAATTATTTTGATTTACGGATGATAACGTTACGTGGATGGCAAAACACTTTTTGGATGTAAGTGATGAAACTCGGGGAGGATCACTAACAACCAAGCAAAGAATGGAAAATACACTACGTTATCTAGCAAATCCTGGCTTCCAAACTGGAATTTCAAACGAAACTGGGATTCATCGCAGTACTGTTTCAAAAACTGTTGCTTTGACACTTCAAAAAGTTTTGACTAAGGCTTCTCAGTGGATAGTTTTCCCACATACGGAAGAACAAATTTTAAGAGCAAAACTGGCATGGTCAAACGAAAGAGGCTTTCCCTGTACAATAGGAGCTATTGATTGCACCCAAATAAGAATCGATAAACCCTATGGAGAATTTGGTGATGAGTTTATTAATAGAAAAGGCTTTGCTTCTATTAATAAACTCATCACTTATATTTACTCATATTTTTGATGACTCCATTTGAAAATGCTCAAACAGAACTTGAAAAGAATTTTAACAAAAAACATGCTAAAAACAGAGTAATTGTAGAACATGCATTTGGTCAATTAAAAAGACGCTTTCCAATTCTCAGATACGGCGTAAGTAACTTTATTCCCAAAGATTATATATATATATATATATATATATATATATATATATATATATATATATATATATATATATATATATATATATATATATATATATATATATTTATTATATATATATATATATATATATTATATGTTAATTTTTTTTTTCCTGATAAATAAATCGAGAGTAATTTTTGTACCACTACTTTAATGTAATGTAACTGTGGTGTAATAATTTCATAGGTAAAAATTAAGCCAGAGATGATAGCTACATGTATTACGGCATGCTTTATACTGCACAATATTGCATAAACTTTAAACGATCCAGATTTTGAGGATGAAGATGTCGAAGAAGATGACGAAGAAATTGTTCCTGTAATTGAAGAAGGAAACGAACAGCAACTTCGTTTACTTGGTCAGCACCGTAGAAATGAAATTGCTTTGGCAATATTAAATTAAGAGACTTATGTAGAGAGAATTATGTAATTAACATCTTTTTTGTTATCAACTTTGTAATATGAAAATTTTAAAAGTGCAATGTCTTTATATTTGTAACAAATTGAAAACAACATACATAATTTTTATTGTATTGTTTATATTATTAAAAATTTACTTTCAAAGTTTTCTTAGATAAATAACTATTTTAAAGAATTTTTAAGATGTGGTAACATAACATTTTAAAGTTTTATTTGCAGTAAAATAAACAAAAGTTTCTTAAATGTCAGTTATAATATGTTTATGACTTAATAACTTATTTGATAATACTTGTATGTAGTAAATGTTCATTATTAGGATTTTATTAAAATATGCATTATTTGGCAATACATTTTTATTTTGCTATAAATTTTAGAAATATTTTTAAACAGATTATAACTGACATTTAAGAAATAAAATGAAACATAAAAACTAAATGGAAATAAAACATAAAGAAGTGACATTTTAAAATAGATTTTAGTTGCTGTGAAATGTATAAAGATACTTTAATTAATTCAAATTAATTCATCCTTCTTTTTATTACAATGTATAACGTTTTAAAATGTTGAAAATATAATGCATGGTAAAAAAATTAATTTAAGTAAATTTAAAACTTTTGTACATTTAACAGTAACCAAAATTTATTTTCACGTTTTTATGTTTTATTTCCATCAACATTAATGTCAACAACAATATCTATCTCCTCTTCATTTATATGGTGGGGAGTAGTATATTTCAACTTTAAACTTTTCAACCGATAGTATTTTAGCTGCTCCAGCATGACCACACGATGAAGCTCTGTATTTGTCCATTTTATAGTTTTTTTAGTTTTACTAGGTAGTTTTAATCTTTTTGGAATTAACCTCGATGCTTGAGAAGATGTGTTCCCTGAGAAAAAAAAATCAATTTTAGTAGATTAAAAAATCCAAGATATTGATAATTTTACATAAAATATAAAAAGAATAAAATTATATTGGAAACAGGTGTCCTGCAAATATACTCTATTAAAGAATAAAAAACCACAATAGTAACTTACTGAAACTACTTTTGACATTACCAGAAAATTCAACTGATGATGACAATAAAAATATAGTTTGACTTTTTGATGAGTTGCTGAATACAGAATTTGTTTCAGCAACACTTGAAGTGGGAGTTTGATCTATGCCTGCAGATATTGCCCCTAAGCATATTAAATATATATACATATATATATATATATATATATATATATATATATATATATATATATATATATATATATATATATATATATATATAATATGTACGTATATAAATAAAGTTGTCTTTACTAACCATCAATTTGTGTGAAGGTAGGATTCTTTTCTGTATCTAAAAGATTAGCAAGTTTGACTTCACTCGCTGAAAGTTTTATAGGCTTGTTTCCAGTTCGATGGATGTCAGACTTTTTTTTTAACTTTGTCTTTATGTTGGCAATCTTTTTCGCCAATGTTTTTGTATCAATTTTTGTTCCTGTTGCTTGGAACATTTGGTTTTGCATTTTTAAAAATGCTTTGTTTTTCTTTATTTTAACGTTTGGAACTTGGCTTTTTTGTAGAAGTATTTGCAATTCGCACAGTATGTTTATTAAAACTTCATCTTCACATTTGTTAAAACTTTGGCTAGCTATATTATTTTCACTTGATTCAATTGAAATCTGGTTTGAAGAAGCCATTTTTAAATATTAAAAGTTAAAAAAGCTACTTATATCCGCAACGGCATATAGCTTTTACTCCGACACAAAAGCAATTGCTTGCGAGCATTAGCAAAACTTTATTCACACATTTTTGAGCAATTGCTATTACGGTGAGCATTTGCTTTTAGCTTTTACTTTTACTCCGAGCAATTGCTTGTGAGCAATTGCTCTTTTTTATTCACCCGACCCAATACAATATTGGAAACACATGTTGATTTTGATGCCAAAAGTAAAAATCATTTTGCTCATTTACTTATATAACCACTTATTTCTTTTTTTAAATCTAAACTTATTATTTTGTCACTATCATTTCCGGAATCATCATCTTCATCGTCAAATGATAACTTACATTTTTTTATTTGACTGTCACCTTTTTAACTGGAATTATATCACAAACTTTTTTTGTCAAATGAAATTCCGACAAAAATTCTCTAACGCATTTTAAGTTTTTTTTTTCTCGTACTTTTCAAAGAATTGAAAACTTTTATAATTTGGATCCAAAAAAGTGGCACATAATAAAAACGAAATATTGTAATATACTGTAGCTTACAGGGCCGGCACAAGTAGATAACACCTAGAGAGCGCTGTTAAAATTTTAGTTGACTAGAAAAAGGAAAAAATAACCCTTGTTTTTTTAAATTTACCAAGTGACTGTTCTGAAAATCTACATTTGCCTACTTACTTTTCTAAAAGAGTTTAATTGGCTTACTAAAAGTTCATTGATGGGATGTCAAACACAAAACCAATCATCCCATCCCCTCACCCCTTTGTGCTGGCCTTTGTAGTTTATTCAATTCTAAAGATATTTGTGTTTTACCATGTATACTTTTGGATTTTTATCAAAATTTTCTAGAAGTATCTCGTTAAACCTTCGGCATTGAAAATTTAAAGAAAATTATTTTGATTATTTTGGTATTATACGGTAAAATGATTATGCAATAGCAAACTTATTCAAAAATTCTAATAGAAATGATATCATGGACCTAAACTATTTATATTATATATTTATAAATTTCTTTAGTTAGACTAAAAATAAAGTCGGGTATATTTAGTTAACTAAAAACTTAGTCGGTCAACTTTAGTTAACTAAAAAGTTAGTCGGGTAATTTTAGTTAACTAAAAAGTTAGTCGACTAATTTAAGTTAACTAAAAAGTTAGTCGGGTAATATTAGTTAACTAAAAAGTTAGTCAGGTAATTTTAGTTAGCTAAAAAGTTAGTCGACTGATTTAAGTTAACTAAAAAGTTAGTCGGGTAATATTAGTTAACTAAAAAGTCAGTCAGGTAATTTTAGTTAGCTAAAAAGTTAGTCGACTGATTTTAGTTAACAAAAAAGTTAGTCGACTAATTTTAGTTACGGTTTTTTTAGTTTAGTTAGTTACAATTTTTAGTTTTGGCCACAACACTAGATTTTTTATCAAAATTTATGATAGAGCAAACATAATTAGAAATCAAAATTTGAACTTTTTGAAGACTTTGAACTATGATCTGTAGTGAATGCAGCTCATCCTCGTGAAGTTATAATCCAAACGATTTTATCTATTTTTCACCTAATATTTCAATGCACCCTATTATACGTGTTCTATGTATAATTTAAAAAAATCTGTAATAATAGCAATAAAAAGTTGCTTTTTGGTTTAAAATCATCAAATTATAAAAAAAAAAAAAAAATAACAGATTATGCTCTTTAGGTGCCCTAAAGGGAAAAAATGTTCTTGAAATTTTATTTTTTTAGAGTTTAAGAGTTTTTTTTTATTACTTTAAGGAAAAAAATTTTTTAGGACTTTTTGGCTCCTTTCCACAGACATCTGTGGGCATCTGTGGGCATCACAGGGCATCTGAAGACTATGATTTTTTTAAAAATTTTTATTTAGAGTTTTGTAATTTTAAAGAAAAAGGCAACTTTTTATTGCAATTACATTTAAAGAATGCAAATTTTATTTTTTTGATGCACCCTAATATATAACTGTGAAAAAATTTTTTGTCTTTCAGTATTTATGTTAGCCAGTAAACTTGTAAAAAACAACTTATAAAAGTACAAACATCGGATATAAAAAAATAAGAATTCATAAAGCTAAACGCAAATGAGCTTATAAATAAACTCAATAAAATAAAAGAAAAAAATGCATAAATTTAGTTAAAATAGTATCTAAAAGCACTCTACTGGTTTTTTAAAACATAAAAAATTAAACTCTTTAAATTTTAAAAATACTTATAAGGTAGTAAGTCGTTCCAGGAACAAATTTTGGTTTAGATTTTTGGTCCAATGGATTGTCATCAAAAATAATTAAGTGTGAAAAAACATTATCACAAAGCCATGCAAAATTTGATGAAGGTAAAACTAAAAATACAGAACAAAATAGATTACATAGTATTCGTTTATAGACACTTTTTTTTAAAGTTATTTGTAAGTTTTTTTTTTTATTTTCTGATTTACTCTTTTGTTTTTATTTCTCTTTTGTCATTTTATATGAATGAAAGTTAGCTGACAATGTGTATGCATCCAATATATATATATATATATATATATATATATATATATATATATATATATATATATATATATATATATATATATATATATATATATACCATTTTATATTTATACTATGTTATGTTTATAGATTCATTAAGTATACATTGTAATCTGTAATAATACAAAATGCTACAAAAACAAAACGAAAAATAATTTATGTGATAAACACAAATAAAAAAAAAAAAATATGCTTTGTTTTTATACCCTTTAACTGAAATTAAATTAGGTTATGTTCTCTGGAACACGAAATTAAATTAGATTAAGTAATGTTATATGGAACACAAAATTAAATTAGTTTAAGTTATGTTATATCAAACAGGAATAAGGAAAACTCAATTTTTTTACTGTAACAAAGCGTAATGATTTCAAAAATAGAAATAGAATTGAAATCAAATATTAAAAAAAAATGCAAATTACTAAGAATGCTAAATAATGTCGCAGTAATTAGTTTTTACAATTTTTTTTAGTAGTAAGCAGAATTCAGTTTTTATACCCTATAAGATCTTGTATTAAAATCAGGTTAGTCAAGGATTAGAATTATCAAGATAATCTTGATGATGATAACATGTAATTCAGTTTAATCTTGCCTTTTACCCTGTTGCATTAAAGAATTCGCTTTTTTTGTTCTGAATTAAAATATCTTGCTTAAAGCTTGAGTTAGTTTTGGTAAAGAACTTTACAAGAAATTTTATGGGAAATTTGAGTTAACAAATAAAAAAAAATGATGTTTTACAGAGTGGGTTAACGTTGATCTTAACGATAAAATTGTATAAACTGTGGCAATTAAAATTAGAATTAAAGAGAAAAAAATTAAAGAGAAAAATTCTCAAGATTTTAAAATTTTTGGAAATATTCTTTTGACTAATTTGAAACTAAAAATAATAAGTAAGTGGTAAAAATTTATTAACCTTAACTTAAATTTTTTTTGTAAAGCAAATGATATTTTTGTATGATCATATACGTGCTATTTTTGCCTAGCAACGTCCTTGGGTACGAAAAAAGTGTCAATAAAATTCTTCCTAGTACCCATATATATATATATATATATATATATATATATATATATATATATATATATATATATATATATATATATATATATATATATATATATATACATATATATATATATATATATATATATATATATATATATATATATATATATATATATATATATATATATATATATATATATATATATATATATATATATATATATATATATATATATATATATATATATATATATATATATATATATATATATACATTTTCATATTGCAATTGTGTGAAAAAGTATTTTCTAAACATGCTAATTCAAAATCCTTAATTTGAAGAAGCATATTTAGAATTCCTCATTGTTAATCAATTTGGTAGGATACCTATGTAACCAACAAAAACATGCAATGTAGAAAATATTTTAATTATAAAATTTTAGGTAAATTTTAATATTTGTACAACTATTTAAATAAGAAACCTGCTTTACATAATGTTAAGTGGATTGAAAATGGCATGGTTAATTTGGAGCGACCAAATGCTTGTGGAGAGTTTATTTGCATGTGATATATATTGTAAGCAGTGGTTTGTAAACTTACTTTTTTTACTCAATTAGTTCAATCAACTTATCAGCGTCAGTTATATATAGGGTTTGGCGATGTCTTACTGAATTATTTCCAAACTGGTTTAGAAATAAATCTTATTTCCCTCTAATAAAAAAAAAAAGCTCTTGTCATTTAAGTTTAATGTCACTCCATTAATGATACATCCTCTCTCATACTCCTTATTTTCGTTCTTCTTCATTGTTAAAAATTAAAAAAAATCTGAATAATGTATTTACTAATTGTAAACCTCACAGTTCTCTTTACAGTTTTCTTTATAGTTGCAACAACTTCTTGTTTTTCATTATTTAATTGATTTAATTGAAATAGAAATGATGAGGTCTATCCAACCATGAGTGTTTTACCTTTATTTGAAACCAATGATAACAAACACCAATAATAAATTTAATAATTAAACATTAGTTTTTAAAGGATTTTTTTGTTATTAAAAAAAAGAAATCTGCAGAACGGTTGGCTGTAGTGAGCCATCTGGAATGAGAAAGACGACTAGTTTTAAAATTTATTAAATTTTTGGGTAACAATACAGCTCTATTGCTGATACCATTTTGTTACCGTTTTTTTAATGATCCATAATTTCTTAAGTATTATATCTGACAAGGAAAAAAATGGTTAACATAAAGCTACTTTTTAAAAGTTGCTGTTTGTGTTCTGCTCTGTAACCGTATCCAGCATTGTATCCACTAACTGTATCTACTGTTTGAAAACTTATTTCTATCTAATTTAACTATGAGATGTCTGAGGGATAGTTTATTATATGAAGTGCTTAAATAACTATTTATGAAGTTTTGATTTAACCAATTGTATGACACCGCATTTCCATCCAGTGTTAACAATAGTTGAATCACTGTTCATAACTATAGATTATTGACAAATCGATTATTGACAAATTAATTTTTGACACCACGTCAAAACATTTTTTTTGTTAAGATATTGGCAAATATTTTAGTATGCTTTTCTTCATTAATTGTTTTTTTTTGGGACTAAAGTAAACCAAAAATCACCTTGTTCCATGCATGCAGTATACTATTCTTTATTAGATCTATGAAAAACCTTCTGGATCAATCTACTTCTTTCTTTTCTTTTTTTAATGTCTTTTTTATTATCAAAATAAAAATAATCGATGTTCTAATTGTGTTTAGATGTTAAAGTCTTTAGTACATTATATTTTTATAACAGTGATTGTTTTTAGAACAACTATTGTTTTATTTTTCAGAACAATTCGAAGCATTAAAAGACCAATTTAGTAAGTTTAATTCATTTTATTATTTATATTTTATTTTTTGTTTGGAGAAGGATTAATGAGAATAAAATTTTTTAGACAGGCTAGCTGACAGCGAAATAAGTATGTTTTATTATTTATTAACTAAATTATCAGATTAGTTTCAAGTAAGAATACTATTTTCTCTAATAGCTATTGTTTTAATTTATTGTTTAACAATTACCTTATTAAATTAACGAATACATTTTTATTAAAGATTATTTTGTTTTGATTTTACTGCTTAATTTTTATTTTTTAGACAGACAGATAGATCTCAGTAAGTTTGTTATTTTTGTAGATTTGAGAGCAGTAAGCTTCTTTTTTGTCTCAGCTTTTTTCATTGAAATACCATTATATCATTAAATATGTTTTATAATAGGCAAATATACATTTTTTCATTTAGGTATTGTTTTAGCAACTTTTACTAATGGTGATGTCTTTTATTCTATTAAACGAGAAGAGAGATTGATTTGAATATTTATTGTTTACTTGAACATTACTTATTATTTATTGTTTATTTGAACATTACCAAAATAGCTTTTTTTATTTAATTTTTTTTTATTTAGTTATTTCTTCTGTAGCATAAACCTCCCCAGGTTGATTTAAACATTTAATTTTTAACAATAAAAAATGTTTATTACCATCATGCAATAAATTATCTTTATTGATTTATTCATTTCATTTAGTTGTGTCATCTGCAGCATCGACCGTCCCAAGTAAAAATACATTTATTTTGATTTTTTTCTTTAAAAACTTGCAATGAACATTCTTTATTGGAACATTATCTTCAGGGTTTAACAAAATATATATTTTTTGAAATATTTATATATATTTTTCATTTAGTTGTTTAAACTGCTTCATCCGCCACTTCTGGTAACTTGATACATTTTTTTTTGATTTGTTACTTAAAAAACATTTTATTTCGATTTGGTACTTAAAAAAAGACAAGTAATAAATATTGTTTATTTGAACATTATAATCAGAATGAAATTGCCTTTTTTTATTATGTTTTTTATTTAGCTGTTTCATCTGCATCATTAGTCTCTTCAGGCAACTATTTTTTTTTTTTGCTTGGGTCAAACATTTTTAAATCTTTATATTAGCATGTCAATATTTTTAGATATCAATGAAGTATTAAGTAAGTTATATTAGTATTCAGATTTCACTTTTTACTTTTATTAAATAACTAATTAAATAAAAAGTTTTTTTTATATATTTCAGTTCTAAGGCAACAGATTGGTAAGCAAAAATATATCATATGTTTTTATCTCCCCAAAGCTTGGTAGACTGTTACAGTTAAGGATGCTACTTTAATTGTGGTTGCAACCCTTTCTCAACTTAAAATTAAAATTTTGAAACACAAACATTGTAAAACAAGGCTGCTGTGCTAAGAAACTAGTTAAGTGCGGTACTACCAGGTACATTTGACCTTATAACTGCTCTACCAATATGCACAATAACCATGTAAATTAATTATATTTAGCAATAAACAAAATAATGTACTTACCAATATATAAAATTATATATTTACCAATGTATATCTTATGATGAATATTCTAAAATATATCATTCAAGATACATTTAAGAAATTATATTAAATTTTCAAGTTTTTATTTTTTATGTTCTTCTGCGAAAGCGAGATGGTAAGTTGTACATACTGTTTCCATAGTTTTAAAGAATAATATTTTTTCATTTTACTTAACAATATTTTTAACACTTATATATATAGCTTTGTTACATATGTTGGGAAAAAAAATTCAAATGTTCGTTTAATAGTTTTTTTATCTAGATGAATTGTTAACAAACAAATCTTCCAATGGTGAAATTTATTATGTCTTTTCTAAATACTTTTATTTATCTTTTAGCAAGGAAGACGAATCTGTAGATATATATTTATTATGTTTAGGTATACAAGCTAAAGCCCTAAACGGTAATTCTAAATTCATACTTACAATAATATTATCTGCTTTAATGAAGTAAAGACTTGACTATAAATAAAAGAATTAGGAAAAAATGATGGAGAACATTTTCTTTATTCGAATTTCGCTCCTTCAGTTAAATTTATTAAAGTATAAATTAATTTTTATTTAATTTTCAAGCCAGGTCTTTTGAACCAAAAATCGTTTCGAAGATGGGTGCAGTATGGAGGGTCAGACCACCCATCATTTAGATGGGGTGGTCAATACAGGAGTCGAAGGACCGGGAAATAATAAAAAACTTTCATGTCTACAATTGAAATATTAGTAGACATAAAAGTTTTTATAAATGTGCATGTGTGTGTATATATATTTATATACACACATTTTTTTTTTTTTTTTTTCTGTATATATATATATATATATATATATATATATATATATATATATATATATATATATATATGTATATATATATATATATATATATATATATATATATATATATATATATATATATATATATATATGTATATATATATATACATATATATATATATATATATATATATATATATATATATATATATATATATATATATATATATATATATATATATACATATATATATATATATATATATATATATATATATATATATATATATATATATATATATATATATATATATATATATATATATATATATATATATATATATATATATATATATATACACACATACATTCTATGATTTTGTTTGATTTTCTGATTTTTCAATTTAAAATTGATTCATTTTTTTTCAAACTTTACCATAATTAATAAACAAATTTTTTCTGAAAACTTTTGACTTTTATTAAACTTTAATTTCTTCACTTTCAATTCGGTTTTATTGAGATCAGATAAACATGCTGTTACAACTAAAACTCTGTGTCTAATGTGGTTTTGTATATAGGTTTTTTTTCTTATTAGCCTATATTGTTCTATTTGCACTCATCAGCTATAACAACGTTTTTTAAAAATGTTAAACTGATATTGATTTGGGTAAGTTTACAAATCAGTTTTGATTTTAGTTGGAACTTCGTTTAAGTATTTAACATGGAAAATCTCAGACTGTTATACATTTTCATTTCAGTATATTTTATACTTCTCTGTACTAATAGCAATATTTCCTCTTAGTAAAAGTAACAGAAAAAATTAAAAAACTTTTATTGGAAGTTGTTGATGACAAAAAAAGATTTTTCTTCTCTATTTTTCGTAGTTTAAAGTGTTATGCTTTTCTTTAAAAAGGTATTAAAATATGTTTAATGTAATTTGTAAAAATCTGTTCTCTTTTTTTTTTTTTTTTCGTTTAATTGTTTACTTTACTAAAACTATTTACTAATATGGAATCACGTAATTTTTTTAATATTGTATATTTAATCGTCGTCCTTATAAGAAACAAGTATTTTTAATTATTTTAATATAGTTTTTTGTACAATAGGCTATGCTTGGCTCTTCAGTCCTGTAGATGGCAGCTGTTATAACTGATTTTGAAAAGTGTCTTTTACGTTTACTGTTTTTTGAGAAAAATGTGTTTTATATAGGTTTTTATTTAATATTTTTGTTACATATTTAACTATATATCATGTAAATAAATTTGTTTTAAAGATATGTAAACGTAAGACTTGCTTTTTTACCAATTTTTCAAAAAGTGAACACAAGTTTAAATATACATATATATATATATATTTTTACAACTGTTTTATATGGTTTTAACATCTGTTTTATAGCCTTTTTAGCTCATTAGGGATCGTCCTTAAAATACTCTGAGGGGTAGAGGGGGTCTCCAAATGGCGATTATGGGATGAAAGGGCTGTGGGTAAATTATATAAGAAAGGAGACACTAAATAATAAAAAAAGTCATAAAATGTTGGGTTAAAATGTAGGTTAAAAGTTTGTATTCAAGTAAGATGTTCGAACATTTCGAAATAAATGGTTAATTGTATCTTTAAATGAAGATAAAAGTTATGTTAAGAAGCCGAGAACAATAAAAGTGAGCAGAACTAAAAATATATAAAATAAGTTTATATTTCATTAGAGAAAATAATAAACTGATATTAATGATACTAATAACCCGTATTATTAATAATTTATTTACTAACAACTCGTATTACGGGTTGCTTAGTGTTAGTTTTATAATAATGAGAAAAGTTTTCTAAGATAACAAAATATATTTAACCTTGGGTTATGTATCGCGACATTTCAAGTATCTTATGTATTATATTAAGACAATTAAAAATTTTTGTTTAACCTTTTACTTCTTGTGCTGTTTTCCATTTTGCTAATATGTTATATTATGTTTTTTTGAAAAAAACCATTCCTTTTGAACCAACTTTACCTTGTTTTGTTTTAATACAAAAAACGTCTATGATAAGAATTATCTTTACTTGATTTATTTTCTTTGTTCATGGATATCAAAAACAACGTTGTAAGATTTTATATTTTTTTCCACAGTCACGTCAGAATAAAAACAAGAGCTTTAAAATTAGCGTTTGCTTTTTCCCAAAGGCTAATCACGCATTTTTCTAATGCTTTGCCATATCTTTATTAAAAAGATTCTCGATTTTGGACTAGCAGTCTAAAAAATATTTTACTAGGCTGTTCTTTAATTAGAACTGCATATTGAATTATATCCATATTTATTTAAAATTGAGTGAGTCATAACTCCTTTCCAGTGTTAATAATTTAATTACGAAAGTTTTATTCATGTCATTTGTCTTTACCTTTAAACTTTCAAACTTACCTTTTTATAATTTGATTCTATAATTTGCTATACTGAGTTAAAATATAATAAAGCTTGTTTTTATACTATCAGCTTGTAATTCGCTTTCTATAATCATAAGTCTTTTTTGCTTTTATACTTGCCGCTTGTTTATCGAAATTGAAAAAATATAAGAAACCTGTTTTCTACAAACAACATCTACATATTATTTTCCTTGAGTATATTTGTTTCACGAGCAACTATCCATTTTTTTTGACATGGAGAATGATTGAAACGGAAACAATGGTTGGAACTCAATGACTTGAAAGCGTTCAATTAAAAATTAAGTAATAAAGCTGAACTTTTTTAAATTGATTTACAATAAACTTACGTTATACGCTTTTATTGAAATTTTTTGACTTTTTTTTTTTTTAACTAAAAAGGAAGCTTTTTTTGGTACTAGGTAAAATGCGAACCCCGAACTGGTAAAGTGCGAACTTTTTTGCGAACCATCGTCCTATTGGTTGTTAATGATGTAATGTTTTATTTCCGTTAAATAATTTGTTTAGCAGTATATTTTAAGGTCTTTCAGGTGAAAAAATTAATTAAAAGAAAATAAAAGGAAATTAAGTGAAACTAGATAAATACAATGAATTTTTTTTTTTTTTTTAAATTATTTGATAGACTGCCTGCCCAAACCAAACCCTCAGTCGATTTAGCAGCACTTCGTTGCGAGTCAGGCTAGAAGATAGTCGATGTAGTATACTACATCGACTATCTTCTAGCCTGACTCGCAACGAAGTGCTGCTAAATCGACTGAGGGTTTGGTTTGGGCAGGCATCTTATAGCCTGATTCGCAACGGAATGCTACTAGTAGCATTCCGTTGCGAATCAGGCTATAAGATAGTCGATGTAGCAACACTCCGCGCATGTTTTACAATTTAAAAAAAAAATTGATTTTAAGTAAAGCTTTAAAAAAGATAATTAAAAATTAGGCGAATTGATTATTTAAGTAAAAATTAAATAAATTAACATATCTTTAAATCAACCAAGTGTTTGTATTGAATTCTTGTAGAATTAAGTTTCAAAATATATTGGAGTATTTTTAGTTTAAAGTTGTTTGCCTTCGTTAAAACTAGGTTGTGTTCGTATTTCTACTTGAATCAAGTGGATATGAATAATAAAGTTTTTATGGTGTGGTTAACTAGATTATTTTACTTTATTAAATAACTTAATTGTTGAGTAAACTTGATTGCTAAAGAAACTATATTAAGTTTTTAATTCTACTTGATTATCAACTGCAAAAAAATTCATTTGGATTTGAGAAAAGGGAACAGCATTCTCAGAATTTTTCTTCTTTAACTCTAAAAATAAAAAATGATAATATTAGTGGTTTTGGTAAAGGAATTACTATAGTTGAAAAGGCTGAAAGAAACAAATATGATGATTTGTTTTAAAAAAGTGAGTGACTTAATTCAAAATGTCATTTTAAGATTTTTAATCTTTTCTGATATCCTGGTGGTTATAAAAAATAATTGGCAGTATGAAACTTATAATATTATATACCCTATTATATATCTTATTTTACTAACAAAATTAATAATCTGTAAAGTAATTTGTAAAAATTTAATTGTAAATTTGCTACATGTATGAGAAAACAAGTTGTTAGATGAAATTCAAACCTTTCTTATGCTTGTTTTCTGTAGATCAAAAAATAATATATAAAGATAATATTGATTGTGATGACAAAGAGATTTATTTTAAGACTCATCAATCTTCGTCGCCATTATGTAAAAAGAATACGTATGATGGATTTCATTCATCTCAAGCAAGTTAGTCTTTAAAAATAATAATGTAATGTTTGTTATAAAATGCTAACATGACTGTCAATATTAGCTCAGATATTTGTATACTATATGAGTTTACTTAAGTATTTATAAAAAGTTATCATTAAAACAATGAGTTTCCAATTACAACTCTAAATAATTACCTGCGTGAAATCCAGTATTTCTATGTTATTAAATCTATAAATCTATTTAACAATATTTCTAGTCTAACCCTAAATCTGAGAAAAACTCTGATATATAGTAAAGTACTTTATTGTGGCTATACCAAAAATTAGCATTGCCACAATCAAGTATTTTTTTTTCTATTAGTTTTTCTCTGATTTAGGGTGAGATCAGTAAAGTTGTTAAATTATTAAGTTTATGTAATTTAAATTTATTTATTTGCGTAGTTTTGTTAAGACTATTTAAAATTTAATTATCTTAAATTTTTTTAGACTTTCAATATCGTGTGTTGCTTCTCCTAAATGATATAAAAACCCAAGGATGCAAAAAAAACTTAATACAAAATAGCATAAAAAAGTAGTAACTGAAATGAACAACCCAATAGAATTTGATAAGTTTGATTCAACACTTGATAATGTTTCATCTAACTCTGTAGTAATTCTGCAGTTGTAAACTGGTAAATACTGATTTTTTTTTTTTTTATTTTCTTTACAATATATAATTTTTACTACTGAATTAGAAATTGTCCATTTTTACATTATTTTTTTCTATTAGAAACAGAGACTTCAAAATATTGGTGGTAAGAATTGTCTAAA